ATTTCCGGCTGAAGTGAGCCATTAAGTATAAGGCTCCTTCTAAGTTATCTTGGATTTACTGTACACTCAATATTTTACCTTATTTTTATTAAGGAATAGGTTTATGCAGCTCTGTGCATAAAGCACCGGTTCCAGAATCATTTTGAGGTTGCATCTTTGGTTGAGGAGCACAGACCTTCTGCTGCCAATGGTGCCAGGAGAAGTAGTAACTGTCCTGATTGATAGACTTGGCAGTATAATTATAGAAAAAAATAAAATGTGTGGGTCTGAAATTCCCCAGGTGGCCTAGACATCTAGGGCAGGAATTTTGCCATTGGACAACTTTTCCCTTGCAAACCCAGGAGACAATCCCAGGAAACCAGAGTGCTCCCTGTGTTGGGCAAGTTGGATGAGCTGGGAGGTTATGGTCAACGGGTATATATATGTAGTTAATCATTTGGAAGTCTTATTTTAGATAAGCATTTAAAATGCAGCTTTTTAAAGATGACTTGGAATGAGCAGCTTTATTCAGGAGCAGTCTATGTAGAGTGGGTGTGGTGTGTGTTGTTGTGGTTTTTTTTTTTTTTTTTTTTTTTAGTGGGGGGGACTTGGTGCTGATTTGAATCCCTGGATGGGAGATGGCAGTCAGCAAGTTCCAGTGTGTAAGTATAAGTAGCAATTCCATGATGGTAACTTCTTGCTACTTTGTAAAGAAGAATATTAGGAAATGCTATTATATTAGGAAGCAGCTACTATGTAACATTAGGAATATAAATTTGGTCTTGTTTCTCTTTCACCTGAAACAGCAAAATATTGGTGGGTGTGTGTGTGTATATATGTATATAAACTCATGCAAAAGGCATTTGAAAGCAGAACAAATCCCAAAAGGAGAGGGGGACTACTTGTTGCTTGAAAGGGATATTATTACTATGTATGGGAAAAAAGTCATGGAAATGGATGGAAACTCTATTTCAGAAATAATACTAAAAATCTTAATGGTGCTAGTGGAAATGCTGTCCTCTGCTAAGAAGAGGTCCCAGGTGTGTGAGTGAAGATGTCTGTCTAGTTTTTGGCAGCCAAGTCAAAGGTTTGATCTTTAAAGTGTCTCTTTGGCTGCCTCTTGACTCCAGGGGGAGAAAAAAAAATGTGAGGATTCATTTAAAAATTAGGGCTAGTGGAGGAAAGGGCAATTTCCAAAAATTCTGCCAGGTTTTGTAGTGTGCTTAAGGAAGCTATAAAGCTCTTAAGGATGCTGAGCAATATAAAGAGTAAGAATTTTTGGCTAGTACATCATCTATGCAGGAGCTCTGCTTGGTGTGGATGAGTCAGGGCCCTAGGAGCTGAAAGGGCAACTTTTTAGGTGCCTCATTTTGCCCTGTACTCTGACAGAGTTGTCAGCCTGTGCCAGACTGTAGGAACTTAAATATTTATGCTTGGAGTGCAGCATCTTGGCCTTGTGTTTTTTTTTTTGTTTTTGTTTGTTTGTTTGTTTTTTTTTCTCCCTCTCTCTCTGAAGATATGGGAGCCTTACTGCTGGAGTAATGCAGGCCATCATTGTGGGAAACTGCCAGTTGGGTGGACTGGATGTGGAATTAAATCCCTGCTCACATGATTTACTTTTGCCTGTGGGAAAAGGGATGTTTTGCGTGAGGAGTGGTTAATGTAGCCAGAACTAACCCACTAGTGTGTAGAACACCCCAATGTTGTGTTATGCAAGAAACCTTATTTTTCGTGCTTGTTACAGAACTCCTGATAATGGTACCTTTTTACATGGAGTAAATCACATGTACTCCAGAAGACTAAATCTGTCCTGATTATCTTCAGCTGTCTTCCATTCTGAATGTGATTTCTCTGAACTCTTGGATAACTGTTCATCTTCCAGCTCTGTAATTGAAAGAGAGAAGATATGGGAGCCTTGTGGGTTTTCTAAGCAGGTTGCCCTGTAGGAGGGTGTAGTTTGGGGCAAGGAAGGTTTTTAACACAAGATTATAGCCCCTGTGGCACTTGGGCATTGCCAATAGTGTGCAGCCTCCCAAGGCTCCTATATTTAAGGAACTGCAGATAGCTCTGTGCAAAGTGTAAGGCTGTTGGAAGTAATGACTACACTGGGATAGAGGTTTTCTGATATGACTTGCGCATCCCATGAAAGGGCAGTAACTTGAAACAAAATGACTTATACTTGAAGCTACTTAAATGGATTTTTGAGAGTTAGTGTTCTGTGCTTAACTTTGAACCAAGAAATCCACGGAAGTGATAGTAACTTCTGTTCAAATGAATTATGCACTGAAGAATCACAGATAATGTTCTTTCTACAGGCCTTTTTACATCTTCTTGCATACAATAGAGGTGTTGAAGAGCAAGGAGGCTCCCTTAACTATAAATCACAGATGTTTTATCAAAATACTGTTGTAATCTTTTACATGATGCTTATTGAAATATTTTTCAAAAGCATTTTCTTAGTTGGTAGAAGCTTTTATGGCCCTTCCTGCTGCTGATGGGGGCAAGTGATTGTCCTGCTTATGTTGCTGAGTAGAGTGTCTTTAGTACCTGGCAGAAATGTGAATATTGTTATTTCAGGGGGACCTGCGCCGTGCTTTCTTTGTCGGTCGTAATTCTTAGCTTTAATGCTTGTTTTGTTTCAATGTAGTGGCTTTATGATAAAGGAGACAGGACCTTTATACAGCGGGTTAATGTTCAAAGTGAATTTTGCCTCAAAAGATGTGTTTTTTTTACTGAAATGTCTTTTCCTTTAAAGATGACATTGTGATTCTCACCAAGTTCAAGCCGTGGCGGTCAGAAGGTATTGTACTAACTGGCTTCCTCCCTCTTGTGTGTGTCCCCTGCCAGTTTCTGTTTGCTGAGAGCCTCTGGAAATCGAGTGTTAGTTGGAGGCCTTGATATTGCATCCAAGGCTTTTTGCAGTACCATTTCCAGACATATCTTATTTATGTGAGCTGCTCTTATGGTTAAGAACATAGCAGGTTCCTTGTGTAGATGTGTTGTGGCTCCTTTGTTCCTTCACACGTGATGTGGGCATACATTTTTCATACTGCTGCTGTTTAGGAATGTGTTTCTGTGCTTTCTCAAGGAGTGAATGTTCCGAGTATGTTGTACTTCACATTTAACCTATGTTTGGTGCTCTGTTATTTGTTGTCTTGTGTGCTTTAATTGCACTGTGAAAAAGTAAAGCAAAAAAGAGGCAAGCCTTGTCCGAAGGTGCAGCTTGTGTAGGAATCTTCTTGCACAAACAGTGTCTGAAGTAATTGGTTTTCTTAAGCAGTTGCTTTCAAGTGGACTTCCATGTTCTTATAGTGTTCCTCCTGTTATGGGACACTTGCTTATCTTGGGTATTGAGGGTTTGTACTGGGGGGTGAGTTAATTTGGTTCCACGCTCTTTCTTTAAACTTCTGCAGAGTTTGACATTATCTTCTAGAAAAAGCATAGTCCCTAAAGCTGCTGTGGTGGTATTGGATAGGAAGAATAAGCCTGAATCAGTTACTTCTACAATAACGTTTTAGAGATGGTTTAACACAAGTCTCTACACTTGTTTTGGCATGTGTAAACACCTTTCTACAGGTGCATAAAAAAAGCTCATGCTCAGATTGTGAGATGTGTAAATCAGACTCTTGCAGGCATATTTTGATTTAATGGAATAGCATGTAGCAGCTTCACGCATGTTATAATGAAGCTGTTTCTGAATGCTGTGTTATGTCATTGACCAGTTTTTCCATCAGTTGGACTCTTGTAAGTGACAGGAACTATTTTTCAATGCCATTTTCTTTGTAATATTAGCACTTCAGTAATTGGCAGCCGCCTCCTTTGTGGGAGGGTCATTCCAAAATAGTGCTGCTGTTAAAATCCAGGAGTTTGGACAGCAGGAAGTCTAGCAATTTAAGCTGTTACTAATCTTGATTCTCATTTTAACTGCATTATGTGGGCCCATATGTGTAATATGCAGGGCCTTAGCATGACATCTCAGGGTTATATACCAGTGAGCCCTTAGCCACAAAAAAGGTGACTTCAATTTCTAGCAACAACCCCAGATAAGGTTGAACTTTGAACTGTTGCTTTAGGAGGTTTGTATGGTGCCTTGGACTTCTTATTTTTTTAACACAAGAATGTTTTAAAAGGAGGAATATATGTATGTGACTTCCTGTGTTTTTTTAGGAGAAGAATGCAATGGACCTCTGTGTGAAACCGTTTCAACCACGGGGTCAGAAATCCCAAGCAGCTCTGAGGTAAGGTACCGTGTGGATGCTGTTAACACTGCAAATCTGTGAACACTTGTGGCAGAAAAAGAGGAATAATGCTGTGGAAGACAGTATTAGTTCTGAAAAACACTTTTCTTTAAGGTCCTCTGGTACTTAAAGCTGGTACATGGATAGATATTTATTCCCTTAGTGTTTTTAAGGAGCAAAGCCATGAAAGAAATACTGCTACCCAGAATCTTACAGAAGACTTGACAAAGTGTCATTGCTAATGATAAAGTACCATGGGCATAACAGTATTGTAGCAATTTGGGGTAAGGATTTTATTATGATGCAATCTTTTGGAAATGGGAAGAACCCCAAATCCAGTGCTGCTTTTTGCACTGGGTGCTACATTGCTGGTGAAATTGGGGTCCTGCTGCATCCCTGTGCTCCAGGGGCTTTGTCAGAGTACAGCAAGAATGAGAAGCTAAATGCAGGTTTGATCATGAGAATTACTACTCAATGTTTAACATTAAGTACATGGTCTTGAAACCGGTGTGTTAATCACTTGTTTCCTATGATTTTTTTCATTGTGTTTTTAGAGGTAGAGAGCTGCTCTATTGTCTGCATGTACGAGACTGCATGTCTGACTCTCGTGAGCATTCTCTGAAAATGGTATTTACTGAATTGAGTGTTGGTCAACCGTTCTGATGAACATTTTAAGTGTAATTTTAATTTGTTCAGTATTTATGATCAAGGAATTAAATGAAAACTAACTTGAAAAGGTGTGCCAGGAAGTCCAATGAACTCCATTTTTAAAAATAAAGGAACCCAATAGTAGTTTCCATCAGTGATCCATTTGGTCCTGGCATTTGTGTCCTCATCTTGTTCCCTATTTTTGTGTTCTTTTTTCATCTGCTTCCTGTTGAGTGTCTGTATTTTTCTTTGCTCAGTCTCCCAGAGGGGTGAGAAACTGGATTACTTGGACTTCAGCAGACCTTCCTATTAGAGACTTTAGTTTATGGGTCATCTCAAGATGCCCTCAGTGTAGGGAGGTATGGGGAACTTTTCAGCAACCAGAGAAGGAAAGAAAGGAATTATGATGGAGTGCTTAGTCCCCTTGGCAGCTTCTGTTTCTGTTAAAGCAGTGGCTCAGAGAAGCATTCCTGATAGGAAGAGACTAATTGAGTCCGGCTACATTTTATGCTGTTTGTTTTTCAAGGGACATGGAAATGTCTTTGATAGACTTCAAGCAATTTTAAAAATGAATGAAATAAAGCCTGAGAGTCCCTTTTTTTGCTGAACTCTACATAGAGATAGAGCTAGAAAATATATAATGGTATGGATATATTTTGATAAGATGTTGCCTTTCTTTTCAATGGTCTAATTAGTTGATGAAATTTGCAAATAAATGAGACAGAGGGACAGGAAAGTTCCAATTCTCATGAGGGAAGATCTTCCATGAAATGTTAAAGGTTAAAAAGTAGAATTTATATGTCATTTCCTGCCAGTAAAGTATTAGGCCTTTCAAATGGGATAATTTTAAGACTGCTTCAACTTTGTAGGAGACTGAGTCACTAACTAGTTTGAAACTTCACAACATCTGTAAGATGCAGATACTTAGGCATATTTGTCTCCTCTACAATTAAGCCTTTTAAAGTCACTTATGGTATTTGCTGCATATACTTCAAATTTATCAGCCTCACAAAGGGCAATTGCACTGTTCTGAGTAAAGCTGCTGGATTGTCCCCTACTCTAACTATGAGAAACTAAATTTGTTTTGCAGCATAAGTATAAAACTGTCACCTTTTGTAGTAATTTCTGTCCCCAAAAATGATCACTGAATTTCTGTTAAATTGGTATTTCTATTGAGGGGGGTTCTGCTCTATCATGGCATAGTCAACTGGGAGAACATCTGAGAAGCAGCAGCTGTTTACATTGGGTTACCAGCAGCATAATGTTCATCAGCTTCTTGCTTGTTCATGTTTCTGTTTAGAGCAGTGTTTTCATGTAGAAAGGAACATAATGCAATATTGTGACAGCAGACCAGACTTCTGTGTCTTCTCTCATCTCAACCAAACTAAGCTTAATGTTTCTGGAAGGACTGCTTAGTTCTTGTTTGGGGACTGTGTTTTATCAGAATTGAGCCTGCTGTGCTCTCTCTGGCATATAATGAAAAAGCGACACCGTTGCAAGAACTTTCACTTTTCTAAATATTCCAGGAAAGCTATGTTGGGTATCAGTAGCTTTACAATACTTGTACCTTGTGGCTTCAATTAAATAATTGCAGAGCAGGGTAAATTCTCCAAATTCCCAGGAAAGCATTTTGCAGAAAGCAGGGGAAAGGACAAAAAGTAGCTTTTCAGTAGCTAATTGTGCCTGCTGTGTCTCTTCATTCCTCACTTCATTTTTTTTTGCTAAATTTCCTAAAATGTTCTCTTCAGCTGAAGCACACCATCTGAAAGCTGATAGGTGATCACAGCCTATATGTGCATGTTCTCTTTGTGGATATGGAAAGCTGTGAGTGGGAAGAGTGTGAGGAGGAGCCTGGAGGGGATGAGGGAGGAAAAGGAGATGGGAGGGTGTCAGTTTGTCCAGGGAGGGCCCCTGTGAAATGAGGAGGCCACAAATCCTCTGGGGAACAAGGAAAAGCCAGGCTACACTTAGGTTATTCAGAGACTTGTATATCACTTTAGAGGGCAGATATTTTGAGAATATAATTGTAGAAGACTTGAACATCTCAACCTCTATTTTTTTCTAAATAGCACAAGTTTTTCCATGAGCATCAGTGATGAGAGGGTTAGTGAGTTCAGATGACCTTAGGACAAGAGCACCTTGGCTATTTGTATTTGCAGGGCTTTGCTTTTCCCTGTGGATATCCTAGAAAAAGGCAGATTGAGCTTCCTGGGTTTGCTTGATGACATTATGAAAAGGCTGTTAAGATAAGCAAACACTCAATCTGCTGGCGGAAGAAAGGACACATTGCTGTCTTCCCTTGCAATGTAAGCAGGAACAAAAGCAGCTTGTTTGCTTTGAAAAATTATTCAAACGAATTGTTGTGGTTTCCTTAAAGTAAAATCTCAATGGAAAGGAGGGAAACTAGATGGGTTAGTAATGACAAATTTGTCATTACTAATTTTGAAGTTAATGCATAAGGCTTTGTGCCCAGTAGGTTTTGGGAAAGGGTCTTTCTGAAGTCCTCTATCCCCCAACCAATAAACAATGTTACAAGCATCAGATGAAGTCATTGTGTTACTGCTCATCAAATTTGTTCCCATTCAGTGTGTGATATAATTTGTTTGCTCTGATAAAATAGCAAAATGAATGGTGTCACACATGTACTGCAAGCAACTTCAACACTCCTTGCTCTGTCTGTTTTCTCCTTTGAAATTAAAACGAGAAAATTATTTTTTTCATCAGCTGTTTTTCATCATCTTGTCAACTTGTTCATGACACGTTGTTTGCAGGCTGTAACTTTTGTAATGGAAATGCCGAAGAGAAGCTATGTAGTTCCCTTTAAAAGCTGTTCTTTTTGTGTAAACATCAATATGGGACAGGTAGAAGTCAATGACACTACTTTGGAGAGCCAGTAGACCTGAGGAAGTAGAGTTGTTTAAGGCTTTGATATCTGGACTGAAAATCCAAGTCTAACTTAGCTTTTCACCAACTTTGACCAGAAGCTGCATTGAAGTAGTCTCCTCTCTTTTGTTTGCCTTTTTCTTTAAAAAAAGCATTTTTTGAGTTATCACTAACAACATTATGTTTTTCCTGCGATACCACTGGCAGGGCCTAAACAGCACTGAGACCACTTTACTCATCCCTGATCATCAAGTGGTAAGCAGTAAAAAAATATATATTCATGCTTCCTTGCATGAATTTGTGTGGCATCTTCTATTACCATGTGCCAAAAGGTCCCTTAACAATTTTCCAGTTTTGAAACCATCCTTCCAAAAATAATTGTTTTTGTGTATATAAATGCATGTGGCTTTAACATTTATTCCTAGTTAATGGACCCTATGAGCCCTTCATGAAAGGGTTTGATGGATTAACTCGAGCATTTTGATGAACTGAAAATTAGAAGGCTTCATGCAGCAAACAGGCCAAACTGCAAAATGAACTATTGGTGGAAAAACTGGAAAGTTTTGTGGTTTTATTTTGTTGGTTTGATGGGATATGGAATATATTCTGCTTATGGTGTTATTAACATATGCAGGATTCCTTTTATGATCATAACTGGCAGGTCTCAGTCAGCATGATACTTAAAATTCTCAGAGAGAGAAATAAATGCTAGTGTCATTGGCTTTGTGATGCATTTCTTATTTCAGTAAATAAGGAAAGCTGAAAACATCCTGTGAATGAAAATCTTCAAACATGACAATTGTATTAATTGTCAAACATACCAGAAACGATAAATACTCATAGCCCCTTAGAGGGAAGGGGAAATTAAAAATTCCCTTAAGAAAACTGGAGAAGTACATGCTGAGGTATATTAAAATCATCTGCTTGCTTACATGGGGCTTTGGTGTCTTATATTAACACATATTTTCTCTTAGCATAGTGGGCTTTTTCTTCTTCTTTTTTGTTTAATGTTGTTTCTTATCCAGAGAAGCTGCTTTTGCGCATTTAAACTTTAGTTTAACATCTTGGTGTCTTAAAACAGCCTTGAAATGCATGTTTTCAAGATTTCAGATTTTCCTGTGGTTCAAGATTAAGACAGATGTAGTAAAGGTGCAAAAAGAGCTTGCAAAATCCAGGGCCAGCAAGCTCGTGTTTTTTTCTTTAATGGCATACATTTTGTCGAACTTGGTAGCCTGCACGAAGCATATCTAGCAACTGTGAGACATATGATGTTATGGGTTTTATGCACTGCTTGGAAGTGTCTGAGGGTTTTGCTTACAGGGATTCTTCAAAGGAAGAATATTGATGGGAACTTTGTGCAAAATGGATCTCTGATGTAATAAAAACTGAAGTTCTTGTTGAAAAACAGGAGTACAATTTGCCTTTAATTCTTTTCTTTTTTTGTCTTTGGAAATGAATTTTATTGAATTCTGCATTTAGCACAGCAGAACTTGAATGGGTGTTTCATCTGGTGTAAAGGACACTAAATATTCTGTTCTGTCTGACACTAAAATTTTGAATCTAAGGGATGGAAATAACATTGTGTTTAAGCAATAGGGTTTTGTGTCCTCTGTTATGCAGATATCTCATTTTCATTCAGCTTTCAAACCCATATGTTTTTCTGTGTTTTAGTGTTTTGGAAATATTTCTTACAGTGGATTGTTAATTTATAAAGAATTAACAAATTGCTTTGCAATGCAGTCATTTTAGTTTGCCATGTTGTCAGTAACATACTAATTAGCTGTGTGATTATCAAAGGTAATAAAAGTAAGTAAATATTTGTTAGTCATACCAGGTAAGTATGCAAACCATTGCAGAATTTTGATTGCTTTTTTCCTTTGGGAACTTCAATGGTTTTCCTGGTAACATAGGAATAGGACAACCTTTTAGCATACCAGTTAGACTAATTACACTCAGATTCTTCCTAGCTACCGATTTTTTTTTTTTTTTTTTTTTTTCCCCTAGCAAAAGCAGAAGCTGATGGAAGGTGACTGCCCAACCTGTAGTCCTAGTTCTGCAAGGTTGGGCTTGGGTGTCACGTCCAGCTCTGGAGGGAGAGGATGAATTGGGGGACATTTGGATTGAATTTGAATGCTAATCTGAATAAGTATTTATTGCTCAGAGCAATATTGTTCTGCTTCCCTCCCTTCAGGCATGGAGATGGCTAGGATATTTAGTGGTAAGGTGAGTTGGCAGGAAACTCAGTTGCCTGAAAGGAGAGCTGCACTAAGCAGTGTGCGAGGTTATGTGGATGGCCAGAAATAAATTGACTTTGCATCAGTTCAGAGTCCCTTCTCTGAAGCCCTTTGTTGTCATGTTCTGTGGTGGATGCCACGTCCAGCAGTTTGCTTCCCTCCTCCCATTAGAAGCGACTGTCTTGTTTGCTTTGGATTTGCTGAAGGCCCTGTGGGGACGAGGTGGTGAAGAGCTGTTCATCAAGTACTTAGTGGTGTGACAGAGTTGCAAGGTTTGGATTTCAGAGTGCAAGTAGAGGGCGGCAGCCACTGGCCACCACTTATCGGCTTCACCCAAGTTGGTTTGGGCAAAACTGAATGTTGGTGGTTGTAACTCTTGCTTTTGCCTTGGACTATATTTAAAAAAATACATTTTGGTTTTGTACCCTCTGCCCTCAGTCAGATATAAACTGAAGACCTCTCGCAGGACTATCTAATATGAGGATTGTGGGTATTTTGACTGCAGTTTAGCTGAATGTTGTCCAATGTGCTTACCTCAGACGGGTGTCTAGAGCTCTTAAAACTGGTGTTCCTACAGGAGAATAGGAAGATACTTTCCATGTGTCCATGTCAAAAGTCTAAAGTAATTTTGAGCTGATGGGTTTAGAGAACTTTTGGAAATGCTGTTAAATGTCCAACACTTGCAGTATTATCCTTTCACAAACTCCTATAACAACACTGGAAGGGAGCTCTGGAGGTTTGACCTCCAACCTAGCTCAAAGGTAGGTTGACTTTGCAGTTGCCTCAGCTGGCTGAAGCCCTTGCTTGGTCAGGTTTTGGAAGTCCAAGGGATGGAGATGCCACTGTGCTTGGGGAGCCTGTTCTACCTGTTCATCCACTCACTTGATACAAGTAGGAACATCCCTTGTTGGGACTTGTGACCTCTGTCTGCAGCCTCTTCTCACAGGCATGCAGCCAAAGGAGAGTCTGACTTCTCTATAATTTCTTGCTGGGAATTAACTGTGGTGACATGTGGCTTAATACCTGCAGGCTGACCTGAGGTGGAGGTTTTTTACCACAGTTCTGCAAAGAACTTTTAAGAAGTAAAACTTAGCAATCCATTACGTTTTGTGGTTTACCTATGTAAGCAGTGCAACCTACCAATGTTATTTCCTCTTTTTTTAGGCCTGTAAGTTCACATTTATGCACAAAACGTTGTCATGAATATCTAGGACTGATCTTGTGAAATCCACAAGCAGCAACATTGGAAGGAAAAAATTATGAGTTTAATAACTAGGCCTGTCATGATTTTGTGATGAATCATATGTTTAGAAGGGGAAAGATTCTATGAGTATTCCCTATCTAAAATTAGATACAATAGGTTTTTTGTATCTTTAAATACATAAATTAAAGCTTCAATAACAGGCATGAATTGTGATCTGCTTTAGAAAACCAGTAGACTTTGACATAAAGATAAAAATATTACTTAAACTCTGCGGAATATTCCCATAACTGTGCTATTCCAAGAATTTGGGAAACCTGACTTTGGCAGGAGCTTTAAATATTACTCAACTCATTTTATCTTTCTTAGTGTTTTTTGGCTTTTGATAGTTCCCTAGAGAAAAGCTGTTGCTGTCTTAAATTGGTGTGACCCTCTAGGCAGTTTCCCAGTTTTGTAAGTTGCTAAAATGCACTTTGGGGTTCAATTATTAGAATGCTGCATAACTACAGTACTACTAGTGCTATGTAGATTTATGCCTTGTTCTAGATGCAGATTAAATTCACATTGAAGTAATTGCAAACTGCTTCTGTAATTTGTACAGAGGGAACTGTAGGCATGAAATAAAAACAGCCTGGGAAATGGCAACTCGCTTGTTTCCATGGATTGCATGATCCTTGCGAGCCTCTTAATTTTATGTGCTCATGTGCTGTATATGGAAGCAGAGCCTTTTTCTGAGTACCTCTCTTGATTTGGATTATTGTGAAGTAGCCTATGTTAATTGGTGTGCTCCAAATATTTCCCAAGAAAAACGGAATTCCCAGATAGGGAAGACAGAGGTTTGTAGCCCTTGAAGGGATTAAGCAACTATATATTCTTTTTAAAATACCCGAGTTATTTCAGTGAATGCCAATGCTCTTTTTCTCTTCATAAAAGATAAAGGTATTATACTCTGACTGTGGATGGTTGTGTGTTTTGCTAATAACTGTAGGTTTTTTTTCTTGACTTGAAGCGCACAGTTTCCTTAAGTCCAGTGGGTGCTAGAGTGGGCTTGATGCTGTTGGCCTTGCTAACAACTTGTTGGTTATTCCAGCAGACTGGGAGGAGATATAATCTGTTCCTGAAGCGACGTCTCAGGGTAAAACAGTGACGAATGATATTGCAAGTGGCTGGGATGGCTGCAGTAATAACATGCTTCACTGTGTGATGCCTCTTGTTGACCAACGCGGGAGCCAAGTTCACAGTGGCAAATACTTGGTGCCTTTCCCCCACCCCGACAACTTTTCACTTGCAACCCTATATGGTTTGTAAGGGAGGAGACTGATGTGTCTCTATACAAATTATTTGATTTTTTTTTTTCCTTTCTAATCTAATAAAATGAAAACCAAATTCAGTCCCATGTAAATACATGCTGCTCTTGCTGTGTGGTGTGGCTGGAACCAACTTCCTCAGCATAGAGATAAATTTAGACTAAAGTGTCACCTCCCTGGAGAGCATTTTGCTGAAGGAACTTGAAGTCTTGTCAACACTTAGAGATAAATACTTAATAATATTCCCTAATACGATGTTAATTTTGCTAGGACCATGAGGTAATGGTCTTTATTGGCATAACATTAATTGTTGTGGCCTAACTCTTACGTATGTTATTAATACAACTTGATGTAATGATACAGCATGCTGCTAAATGAACCCTACTGGATCAGTTGGAAAAATAAAGTGTACCAATTCAACAGAAAAGTTAAGTCTTCTCCCTCACCTCCCCTAAGAAAGCAAGTACTCAATTTTGCATTCTCTGAAATGTCACCTGTGTAGAGGTTGTTAATTCCATATGTGAGCACCTAAGTATCATCACTGGGATGTGTGTTTTTTCTGGTGGCTGGTTAAACCTTGCTATGGAGGCAAAACTGCATGGATTTTGTTTTTGCTACCTGCTTTAAGTGGGACTGTGCCCTGGTCTGCTGCTCGCATAGAGCAGCGTTCGTACTAACCTGGCAGGAAAAACAGCGCTGTCCAGTAACACTCGTGATCATCAGTTCTGATGTGCTCCAAAATCTGAAAGAAAAATGGTCATGTTGTTCACAGGCATTGCCACACTAACATACACCTCTTTGAAGAAGAGTAAGTACATTATGTGTGTGTATAGGCATTTAATTTTGAAGTTACTTTTAACTGGATGGAGGCATGGTTAAATCTTGCCTGAGTACATTTTCAGCTATGAAGAAACTGAAAAATTGAAGCAATTTGGGCAACCTATTGTCTTGTTTTTCTTTTAGAGAAACAGCAATACTCTTTTTAACTGGAACTGTGTATTTTCTACAGATTGATAAAAGACATGAAAGCAAAGACTCTATTTTCTTCAGGGATGGTGTCCGTCGAATTGATTTTGTGCTCTCATATGTGGATGATCTTAACAAAGAATGGGAAAAAAAGTTGGTAAGTTGCTGCTTATGGTCCCTTTGTAATTGTAATCTATCATGACCCAAATATCATTTTCCAAGTCTTTCCAAATGCTTTATTCAGTAGCACTTGAACTTGGCAAATCCTTATATCATTCTGTGCAAGTTAGTTTTTTTTTCCTTTTGGATATTATTTTACTAAATGCTTAGAGTTGCACTTTCTGAATAATCACTGTATTTAAGCTGGTTGATTATATTATACAAACAGTTTAACACTAGGTAATATAAACACTTTCCTATTTTTCACAGCCTTAACAACTGTATTGTTGTTGAAACCATGGCAGTGAACAGAGGCAAATGTTGGAGGCTTCTTCTAAATGAGTGAAACACTAACCAAATAAGATCTAGAAATAACTTCTCTCAGCTTCTCGTGAAAATCATAGAAAAATGTACTATATTTTTTCCTTCCTTTGACTTCAGTTAAAGTAGAAGTAGATTCTTAGATGTGGCACTGAATGCATGCCATTTTCCTTTGTTCAATTGTTTTATGCTCAGAGTAAAAACAATAAAATTCAA